AAAAAAAAAAAAAAAAATCTGAAATCATCTATTCACTGGTTATATTCCACTATATTTGTAACTTAAGCTGTATGGAAATGGAAATACTGCTGACAGTTTCATCTACTCAAGAGAAAAACCAAATTAAAGGACAGAAGCATCAGTGACTTCATGAAGTTTTTCCACCCTGAAAGGAAATTATAGCAGTTGTGCAAAAGAATGCCATATTCCAAGATTGCATGTGGATGAGATACGATTATCAACAATAAACTAATATTTCCATTTCATTGAGCTGTCATATTTCATTAATGTCATTTGATTTAAGGCTTTTACTTTGTCTTCTAGATTCCCTAAGACGAACCCGTCTGATTCTCTTTGTTCTGCTCCTACTTGGCATATATGGACTTCTAAAAAATCCATTTTTATCTGGTAAAATCTCTTTTTATCTGACTTGTTAATTTTTTATGCTTTAAATATCTGTTTCCATTTCATGGTTAGTCTATCTAAGACATAAAGAAAACATTAATGTTTATAGTTATACTATCTATGCTTTCATTCCTAGTAATTTCCCAGCTTTTTAGAAGAATTTTATAATAGTAATACAAAGTAATGGTCTTCTATTTCAAATATTAATAAATTGAAATTTTTCATAAAATTACATTAAATGACTTTTTTTTTTTTCCAGTTTGTTTATCTGAAGTAAAAATGTCAGGTTTAAATGGTTCCAATTACTTTTTCGACTACCATTCAGTTTTTACCCTGTGATCTCTTTATGATTAAGGATCTATATAAATCTTTAGAAAATGCTTTGGTGGGCTAAAACTGTTAGTGTCCATTTTAGAATACAGTTTTGAATTTGCTTTCTGAACTTACGTTCTTAATGTGTTAAGCATTTCTTTTTCACCTTGTATTTTTGCCCACTTTTTTATTCTACATTTCAGTCCATCTTAATGACAGCATTTTGGGCTGCTTCTGAGAAAATTAGAAATTACTGTTTCCTCACTTACATACAGCTGCTCTAGTTCGGAAATTTTTATGCCAGTGGGAGAGACTTTTAATAGTTTGCCAAAGGTGGTCTCCAATATTTTACTCTCCTACCAAACTTGTTCTCTCTTATACTGAATGATATCATTACTGATAATTTTGTTTGAGGACAAGTAGTAACAGTTGTCACAGGAAGAAGAATACATGAAAGGTGACATCTATTAAGCCTCATTTATTTTTAAATGAGTGTGCCAATTTTTTGTGTTAGGTTTAAGGCAGTATAGTTCCAAGCGTAGATCTGTGACCAGTTATATCAGAATCATCAAGGGTGCTTGTTAAAAATGCAAACTCTCCTGGGCTGGTTTTTAAATCCATAAACCATAAATCTGCACCATGACCTGGGGACCTGCATTTTAACACATTTCTAAAGGGATTTTTATTCACACTGGAGTTTGAGAACCATTGATTTAAGATTTCTGTCATTCAGTATTACAAAGAGAAGAGGAAAATAATTCTTGATTTTAACTGGAAAGTATAGACATGTCTTTTTAATGTGAATCATTTACTCCTTGAATGTGATTTAGAAATCCAAAGGCCTAGTTTCTGCTCCTTACTCTGATTTAATATGGGAGCTTATGTCTCTCAGATGTTTAAGTTTTCTAGGCTTTGCTTTCTTGCATCTGAAAAATCAGATGGTTGGAATGTTATTACTCTATCAAATAAAAACATTTCTTCCCTTTAGTCCGCTTCCGGACAACAACAGGGCTTGATTCTGCAGTAGATCCTGTCCAGATGAAAAATGTCACCTTTGAACATGTAAAAGGAGTAAGTTAAGATAATTTGCTTGCCTTTATCATATACGATCTAACTGATATTCTATAAAAGGTCAATACTTGATTCTGAAGGTTATTCTGGAATTGGTAAAACTGCACCCCAAAGTATGTGAAACTTTGATATTTTGGGGTAAATGGTAGTAGCAGAGGATCAAATCTTGTTTCATGAGAGGGAATTTGATTTGGAGGACCAATGTGGTATAGTGGAATGAATGTGGATATAAGAATCAAGCAGACTAAGTTTCAATTTCATTTTTATACTTATTGCCTATGACCTTGAACAAATTACTTTAGATTCTCACAGATAACATATGTGGTTGGCACTTAATAGACAGTTAATACATCTGGCCGATGCACGGTGGCTCATGCCTGTAATCGCAGCACTTTGGGAGGCTGATGCAGGAGGATATATCGGCATACTTTTATATACAGCCTTAAAAATATTAATAAGGGCTTTTTATAACTTCATGACTTGATCCCCCTGATCCTGTTTTTCTTAGTAGGTCTTATATTCCTCAATTTGGAATTGTCTTGCCACAGAAGTTGGGGAGAGAATATAGTTTATGTAATTGGCAAATGATCTTTAATTTCTTTTTATCATTCCTACAATTTAAAGTTGGCATTTTATCTATTATTTTGACTAAAAGTATTTTAGTCTTAGTACATGTACATCTTTGAATACTTTTTTAAAAATGTGCTCTTTTAATAAACCAGCCAAATCTTTTTTAGCCATAAATTTTATTGAAGTTTAACATAGTCATAAAAAAGTGCACAAATCATAGATGTATAGCTCAGTAAATTTTCGTATAATGAACATGTTTATGTTATTAGTACCTACCTCAATAAACAGAATATGGCCGGGCACACCACTAATCCTAGCACTCTGAGAGGCCAAGGCAGGAGGATCACTTGAGGTC